CATGCTGCAATCCCTTCTCCTCCATTCACCTCTCGGGATCTTGGGCACGCACGCACATGCACCCGGCGTGAGTTTTAAGCCACCGGGTCTGGGATGCGAACCGTGGTCGACTACATGGGAGTCCAGCGACATAGCCATTACACTAACTGCTGGTTCCCAGCTATTTTTTATTTTTTAATTTGATCAGAGAGATACAGAGAGGGAAAGTGAAAAAGCCAGCCACCAGGTCCGGGACTTGAACTGTGGTTACCCATGTGGGAGTCCAGCGCCCTAACCACCATGCTACCTACAGCTCCAATGGGATTCAGCTTCCTTAATTACTAGGCAGTACTGGCTGGCTGTCTAGAATCAGCTTGTTTTTTTTTTTGTTTGTTTGTTTTTTTTTGGAGAGATTTTCACTGTAGGGCGCGTGCGCTCGCCAGACAGACAGAGAGAGACAGAGAGACAGAAAGTGAGAAATCACCCCCAGGGGGGATGGCCACGCCGCAATCCCTTCTCCTCCATTCTCCTCTCGGGATCTTGGGCACGCACGCACATGCGCCCGGCGTGAGTTTTAAGCCACCAGGTCCGGGATGCGAACCGCGGTCGACTACGTGGGAGTCCAGCGACATAGCCATTACGCTAACTGCTGGTTCCCTAGAATCAGCTTGTTTAATGCCTTCTACGAGCTGGTGAACTGGGTCGAACCCTCATTCCCAGTGACAGATGAGGAAACTGAGGCACAAGAACGGGAGTCTCCTTGTCCAGGGCTGCACAGCCAGTGGGGACTGAGCCAGAACTTGCAACCCGAGTTACCTTACTGCTCCCTGCTTCTGCCTCCGTCTCCCCAACTGCCTGTCCCCCTCTACCTGCAGGGTGGCGACGGATCACAACGCGGACAACACTTCGGCCGTGCTGCGGGAGTGGCTGGTGGCCGTGAAGAATTTCTACCATTCTGTGGAGTGGAGACCCGCAGAGGAGCCCAGGTGAGTCCTCCAGTCTGACCAGGTCATGCTCCTGCTCTGACACCCACCATGGCTCCCTATTGCCCTGGATAGAAACCCAGGCCCTCAGTCCCTGACTCTGTCGCATGAAGTCTGGCTACTGCGTCCCACCCTCAGCTTCAGAGATGGGGCCATAATCCTGGCCCCAGACTTGGGTGAAGCCCTGTTCTCTAGCTACAATACCCTCACTCCCTTGACCATCTGATCGGGGCCCACTGCATGTTCTCTGTCTCCCTCTCAGTCCCAGCACTGACTCTGCAGTTCTTTTTTTTTTTTTTTTTTTTAAGCTTTTATTTATTTATTTATTTATTTAAATTTGACCAGAGAGGGACAGAGAGAAGATTGCATATAACTTTACAGTGTATTACATTGCTTTGAACCACAGTCAGCCATGTGGGAGTCCAGCGCCTTAACCACCACGCCACCTGCTGGCTCCCTGACTGCTGTTTAGATTCTTCCGTGAGCTTCTGGGCAGCTCAGATCCTCCCTCCCTCCCTCCTTTCCTCCCTCCGTTCCTTCTTTCCGTCCATCCTTCCTTCTCTCCCTCTCATTTCTTTTTCTTTTTATTATTTTATTTATTTATTTATTTCTTTTCTTTTTGCCTCGGGGTGCATGCGCTCGCCAGAGAGAGGCAGAGAGAGCATGAAAATGGGAAATCATCCCCCAGGGAGATGGCCACGCCGCAATCCCTTCTCTTCCATTTTCCTCTTGGGATGTTGGGAACGCGCACATACACACCCACATGCATGCACATGCACATGCACACATCATGCCCTATGTGATTTTTCAAGCTGTCGGGTCCAGGACTTGAACCATGGAATTGGCCACGTGGGATCCAGCGTCTTAGCCACTATGTCACCCAGAGGTCTATTTCTTTACCTACTTGCTGCTTGGACCAGACCCTGACTGAGCCTGGTAGGACGAGGCTCCAATGAAACGTTTCTTTCTTTTTTTCTTTTTTGGAGAGATTTTTGCTACAGGGCACCTGTGCTCGCTGGAGAGGCAGAGAGAGACAGAGAGACAGAGAGACAGAGAGTGAGAAATCACCCTCCAGGGGGGATGGCCACACCGCAATCCCTTCTCCTCCATTCTCCTCTCGGGATCTTGGGCACGCACACACACGCGCCCGGTGTGAGTTTAAGCCACTGGGTCCGGGACTCGAACCGCAGTTGGGCATGTGGGAGTCCAGTGACGTAACTGCTATGCCATTTACCAATCTCAGGCTCCCAAATTTTTGTGTCTTGTGCCCTTCTCTCCCAGCAGCTCTCTTTCACTCTGGGGGTGTCCCTGCTTGCTTTTGGAGGCCCTATCCCCCTTCCAGCCACTCTGAGCTTCCTCTAAACCTCTGGGCCTTTGCACGGACTGTGTGGCTTGCCTGGGACACACTCCTTCCTTCCCAGGTCGCAGATGATGAGTTCACGCTGCCTCTTTCAGGAAGTCCACCCTGACTACCTGTGCCGTGGCTCAGGCCCCTCTGGGCTCTGACTGTGCCCTGTACCCCCACTTCACAGCTGTCTCTTGGCAGGTCCTACCCAGACGAGGAAGGCCCCAAACACTGGTCTGACTCGCGCTATGAACACGTCATGAAGCTACGCCAAGCGGCCCTGAAGTCAGCCCGGGACATGTGGGCTGATTACATCCTGGTGAGTGGCTCAGGGGACCGGATGTCGGTCAGGGGGACGGGCGGGGTGTCCCACGGGGAGGCGCAGCGGTAGAATACCTTCCTCAGGACACCCAGATTGTCTACGAATTAGGACTGCATTGGGGCCACCAGGTGGCATAGTGATTAAGCAGCTGGAAGCCCACGTGGCTGACCATGGTTCGAGTCCCGGACCCGGTGGCTTAAAATTCACACCGGGGGACCAGCAGTTAGCGTAATGGCTATGTCGCTGGATTCCCACGTAGTCGACTGTGGTTCGAGTTCCGGGCCCGGTGGCTTAAATTCACGCTGTGCGTGCCCAAGATCCCGAGAGGAGAATGGAGGAGAAGGGATTGTGGCGTGGCCATCCCCCCTGGGGGGTGATTTCTCGCTTTCTGTCTCTCTGTCTCTGTCTCTCTGGGGAACGCATGCGCCCTATAGCAAAAACCTCTCTTAAAAAAAGAACTGCTCCAGACAGTAACGTCCTCTGGGTCACTTCTGAGCAGCAGGAGGACTCGGGCGGTGGCTGGGAGCCTTGGCGACCCCGAACCATGAAGTCTCACTTCCCCCTTCTGGTCAGGCGTTGGGTCACGGGAAGGGGATGGTGGAAGTGGGAATGCAGAAATGGCAGGGTGGGTTGTCCGTGGGTCACGGCTTTCTGTGGGTTCCTTTGGCCAGTTCGTTGACCTGGGTGCGACAATATCTCTCTCTCTCTCCTTGTTTTAGCATTTATTTATGTATTTACCTACTTATTCATTGTGATTTCCAAGCCACTGGGTCTGGGACTTGAACCGTACTCGGCCATATGGGAATCCAGCACCTTAACCATCATGCCACCTGCTGGCTCCACCCGGTATGTTTTTCAAGCTGCCGGAGCCAACATCTGAGCTGCAGTCAGCCTTGTGGGATCTGAACCCTAAGGTTATAGGGCTAACCTTTTTATTTTATTTTTTTTAAAGAATTATTTTATTTAACTTCAGTTGTTATTATTTTTATTTATTATTATTATTTTTAATGTGACCACAGAGTGACAGAGAGAGAGAAAGTAAGAAAGCAAGCCCCAGGTCCAGGATTTGAACCATGGTCCACCATGTGGAAGTCTAGTGCCTTTTACCACCATGCC